CTCTTCCTCCTTTTATGCTCTAGCCAATAGTCAGCACACTCACCCGGGGGGGGGCTAGCTGAGCTCTGCGTCCCCAGAAGAAGACCCCAACACAACCTGCCAGCAGGCCTTAAGAGTGTGTTTGTTCTGGGCATGAGGAAAAATTACTGTCTCCACTCCACCAGGGGCCTGAAGTGGAAATTCAGAAGCCCCATTATAACACATTATAGCATCACGGACATCCCATTGACGCCCATGTATCCTGAAGCATGCTAGGGCACATACCCTGTGCTAAGTCTGGCTTACTGAAGGGAAGGAACAGCCACCTTTTCTGCCTCTGAATTAAAATAGATGGGTAGCTGCACTTTGAGAGGACATCAGTCCTTAGGGTGAGTATTTGGGTGTGTGCGTCTCTCAGGGCCCTGAGGTGGAGAAGATTCAGCCTCACCCAGCTTGCACTCAATGCTGATCCTTGTGGGAAAAGGGGCTGTCTGAGTGACAGATCGAGCCACAAGTGTAGATGATGTGAGAAGTTTAAATCAGAAAGGGCTGATTGATTGCCCAAGGAAGTTGTGAATGCTCCATCCCTGGCAGTGTTCACGTCAGGTCGGGTAGAGTCTTGGGTGACATGGTTTAGTGCGAGGTGTCCCTGCCCATGGCAGGGGAGTTGGAACTAGATGATCTTAAGGTCCTCTCCAACCCTAACTATTCTATGATTCTCTGGAGCCTTCCAGCAAGGCAGCATGTGAGCTGAGGGTTCTGGCATCACAGTTTTGGAGTTTTCTTCAGGTGCTCCAAAGTCTATTGTCTCTGACCTGCAATTGTACCCAGCATGCAGAAATGAAGGCTTAGCTGTGGGTGCCAGTTTTGTTGTACGAATTGTGAATGTTTTGTCAAAGCCTGGGCTTTCAGGGGGACCTGCTGGTTTAATAGTCATCTTCTGTGGCTGAAATACCACATGGCTGCTGGTTGGAACCTATTTTGAGCACTGGAAAGCAAACACAAAAAGCAAGACCAAAGAGCATGCATTCATTTTTTAAAAGGTGCTCAAAACCATTTGCTTGCATTAGGTGAGGTTTTTGCCCATGTGAACTGAGAGGAACTAGCCAAGGACTCTTGGTACCAGAACCCTTCTGTTCCCACAGTAAGCCCCGAGCCCCACCTAGGTCAGAGAGCTACCAGAAGAGGGAGCAGGAGCCCAAATCTTATGAGCAGCCCCACGACGTCACTTGATGGGGCTCAGACACAGCGTGAACGAAGCCTCCATCTCTGCCCAGGACACACATAAAGCAATACACACTTTCGCTCCTCCCACCCAAATAAATATAAATTGTATTTGTAAAGCACATTCTCCCTATGTACTTTTATTTTTTAAATCCAGCTTCAACAGGAAAGAGAGGACTGTTTTTACACATGGTGTACAGACAGAAATAACTCCAGCCAGAGCCAGTGAGAGATGGTAATGTCACAGTGAGACTGAAATATAGCTATGGCTCAGCCCTTGGAGACTGCCTGGCTACTCCATCCCGCCAGAGTACTTGCTTCTGGGCATCTATAACATATTTCTTCCTTTTCCCTTGAATCAGGGGTTAGGAGGAAGATGAAACACATGTGATAATTGCTCATTAATTGTCCAGGTGACCCACTGATGAGGAGAAAAAGTTGCTAATAAAAAGGTTCTGCCCCAGGTGTAGGGGGAATGATGTTAGGTGGTTTTCTTACCTTTGAGTGCAGGCTGTAACAAAGCACAGGCCAAAATAAGGATTATTTTTTTTTTTAAGGTAATGGTCTATTTTTAGAATTTATAATATATAGTGAAAGGTTTGATGTCATTGTGGACTTTATGTTATTTTGTAAGTTAGCTGCACTAGTGGCACAGCATGTCTGTAATGTGAGTAAGCAGAACATGAGAACTATTATCTGATAACAGGGACAAGGATTTAAGGTTTAGTTTCTTTTATGGGCTGGGACTCTTGTTTCTCCCTCCCAAATTTTATACTGATTTTTCTTAAATATTTAAATCTCTCTATAAAAACCACACAAAAACTCCCACGTGTTAATTTAGTGATGGATGTTCTTGCATATTACAAACAGCTGTGCTGGAAGCTAACTGTGCTATTTACTCATAGATTAGAAATGTTATTTAAATGAGTATTTTTGCCAGTCAAATTTTAAGAGTACTCTAACTGGACTGAATTCCTTTAATCTTGAGTAAATAGATGGTAATTTCTATTCTTCAGTTCACATTGTGCTGTTTGAGTAAATTTTAACTTTCTCTACCTCTAGTACTCTCATAGCAGCCTGAGAATATCACTTGGGGAATTAATTTAGAACTTGGTATGAAAACTTCTTGGAGTATTTTGGGTTGAAGATGCTGTGGGCTGTAGAAATTCTTCAAGTACTAGATTTAAAATGAAAGAAGGATCTCACTTGATAATAGAAGAGGTTAGAATACAGATGCCTCTAGAGGAAGAGGCAGGCTCAAGTTAGCTTTAAGGTAACAGTTGTGTTAAGAAAATATTATTGAGGAAGACCCACTGTGCATCAATCCCAAATACATTCCAAGTTGCAGGAAAAAGCCTCTCTTTTGAGCTATTCATATCTACTTCAATAAGGCTTTCTTGACAGCTTGTCAGACCACTCCAGCTTTACAATGAGGCCCCTCTTCTAAAATGTATGCTGTAAAAAGGTTTTAGTAGTTAAACTCTTAGCTCTGCTGTTAATGAACTGTGCTGTGTGCTGCTCTTTCCTGAAGAAAAGAACAGGCTTTCTTCTTGATGTGGAGAAAGCAGAAAGTGTAACTCACCTTGCTGTTGTCTCCTTTTTCTATCAGTTAGCTGTAGCCCAAGCATCTGGCTAATTTGAAGATCTTCAACCCCTTGTGTCCTCACCCATCAGCGTGTCTGGATGTGGAAAGAAGCATGTAGTGGCTGGCAAATCTGGAAATGCATTGAAGAAATCCAAGTCAACCAAAGCTGGTTTGCATTTCCCCATGGGTCGCATCTACAGGCTACTTAAAAGAGGGAACTATGCTGACAGGATTGGTACCGGCACTGCCATCTACCTGGCTGCAGTGCTGGAGTACCTGAGCGCTGAGATCTTGGAGCTGGCAGGGAAAGCTGCATGGGAAAAGAAGAAAACCAGGATCCTGCCCAGGCACATCCAGCTGGCTGTGAGAAACGATGATGAGCTGAACAAGCTCTTATCCTGTGTGACCATTGCTCAAGGTGGGGTTATGCCAACTATCCTTTCCCAGCTCCTTCCCAAGAAAACTTCCAGAGATGCTGTTCCTTCTCAGGAAAAAGGTGGTAGCCAGTGAACCTTGCTTTTCCTGGGCTGGCCTGTGCACTTACGGGTGATGAGACTCAGCAGCAGTGATTTGTATGTGTCTTTGCTTCTTTATCAAGTGGACTTTTTTCCTGATAATTTTAATACACTTTCAAAGCTTGTAATAAAGTTCCTAGAATGCAACACTGTTCTCCTTTCATTTCTCAGCTCCCCTTCCAGAGATGGAGGAACATAAAAAATACCAAAAAAGTCTAGCATACCACCCAAATAAGTTTTTCTAATGACAAGTACATGTTTACTTTTTGAAAACATGACAGGTAACTGTTGTGGTCAGGCAGATAAGCCAAGACCCACACTTCCGTTCATGTGAACTTTTCCTACATCATGGATTCATAGTGTAATTAGTTCAGTGCCCTGGATGTTGTTTAACTCTGCTTTAGAAGTTAGTAACCCTATGCTTTAAAATCTTACTGGTGTAAAGCTGTAACAAATGGGTGCCTCTCCTTAGACTGCTCCAACATGACACTAAATCACTATCCCTCCATCTTGTTGTAACAACCATATGCAGTTTATCTAAAATCTGGTGCAATATTCATGATGTTGGCAGATGTGACTGTCTTGCTTCTGTCTATCAGTGCAGAAAAGCAAAAGTCTCCATGTCCAAATGAGGCCCCTGGCCTTTGCTGACTAGGTAATTGACAGTCACTAGGAAGTGCCCGGGGTTTCTCTGCTCACAGTGGGTGCTGCAGCTTGCTGTTGAACTGGAAACCAGGGATCTGCTGCAGCTGCATTAGTATCAGTCTGCCCCTGAGGCAGTATCTCACAGATTTCATAGCATCTCACACAGAGAAGAGCTGGCTAGGACCAGCTTCCTGAACTGTAGCTGGAGCATGAACTTCTTATGTGAAAGATATCTGCCTGTCCTATTGAGTTTAACCTCCTTTGCCCCCTCGAGACACAAGGGTGTCAGAGCCTACTGGCCAGATTTGTGATGCTGACAGTCGTCAGAGCTGTATGAAGCTGAGTTAATGACTCTTCTTCAAGCTGTGATTATGCAGAAATGGGAAGAGGATACCTGACTTAGCAGACACCGTGATTTCAGGGTGGTGGACAGCTGGAACACTGATTGTATGCTGGCTGGTTTTCAAGAGCAATTTGATGAGATCATGGCTGGCCTGCAGCTAACCCAGTGAAGTGTGAAAAAGTGGAAGATGCTGTAGCAGAGAAGTAACAATGAGAGTAGATCTTAGGCTTTCTGCATATAATACACTTGTAAATGAAAAGGAAAAAAAAAAAGAAAAGCTTTAAAGGAGACATATGAGAAATGAAAACGTCAAACTCAATTTATTTCCTCCCTTTGACCATAGCAAGGGAAAGCAGGCTTGGGAATGATTGTTTGTTTGGACCAAGAAAAAATCTAAAGGTTTGTGGTAATGGTGGGAGACTCAACCAAGTTACTAATTTTGTGCAGTTTTAAGCATGGCACTTACAGCACCCTTTGCTAATCTGGAGGACTGCGTGTCGGTCATCATGCTGCTCCTGTGAGCCTGCTTTGCACCACACCAAAGACTCTGCAAGGCATGGCCAGTGCTCAAGTAACTTCTAGAAGTGCCTTCACCTGCTGTTTTCTGTATGATAAAAGGCGGAGTGAACTGTGTGGCTCTACCCAAAGAGAGCTTACACCCAAAGAAAAGAGTTTGTGGTGAAGCACTGGTCCAATTCAAGAGTCAGTTTTTAAAGTTTGGAGTTTTTTTATCAAGATTGATGAAGGACAATCTCCTTTGCTTTCTTCTAGCCAATAGTTCAACCCACTTTTAAATTAACCAGATAGAATTAGCGGTCTGAAAACTCACTCCTCTGGTTTCACAGTAACAGAGGATAGATGTTTCCTAACCCAGCTGCTCAGCAAAAGCTTCTGTTGGGCCAAGGCTCAACTTCCCAGCACTCATGTATTGAAGAAAAATTATTGTTCAGCTGTCACTGCACCCTTGACCCTAGAAAGGACATGTTATGCCATGCAACACAGCTATGAGTGATTCTGGAGAAAAAATGACCGTGTGGCAGATGGGGACAAGTACTAGAAGAGAGAGAATGCAGTGTCAGAAGCCCTGAGCTTTCCCAGTCTCTGCAGAATGGTCACAAAGCAGCTTGGCCACTGCTGGCAGCACAAAGGGTGGTAGTACAGGTTGCTGGGTTTAATTCTTGATGAGTGCAGCAAGGTGAGGTGTGCCCCCTTCCAGCTGTAATAAGTTAACTGCCAATCAGAGATACTGGAGTTCTCTGCAGTATCCTAATACTAACACAGCAAGTATTAGGCTTGTTTCCAGAGGATATCAGCTAACAAGGTGCTAAGCAGCTCTACAAGGAGTAGTGACAATTTTTCATGCTCTCAAGGACAGTAGTGAGTTGCTTATGTGTTTGGTCCTTGATTGTTCTTTATTTTGAGGGGTTGAATCATTGCTCACCCAGGTGGCTTTAAGCAATGCAAGAACTGGTAAGGATATGGCTACTGCTATGGAGTTTAAAAGGGGGCAGCTCTTGCCAGAAGCTGTGGTTTGAGGTAGTGGTATTGTTGGGAAAGAAGGTAGGCTAAGAACATCTTCATGTGAGTGTTTGTTTTTGAGAAATAGCAGCATGTTTTCTTTGTGTTAGATAACCATTATTTATCTCTGGAGTTTTTGTGAGTTCTGTGTTTGGTATAAGGCTGCTTAAAGGGCTTAGTTATTTACTCATGTAGACTATTTTTAAAAGCTTTCTAAGGCCTGCAAAAATTTCCTAAAAGAACTCTATGGTGACTTTAAGCACTTCAATTTGATATCTGATTTAGCTCCTCTCCACATCTGGGTAGAACTTCTCAATACTTAAAAAAACCCTAATGTTTAAAACTTGAGACAACTATGTATACAGGAGCAGATTCTTTTTAATGTTTGTTGACCAGCTGCTTTGTGTTATGCATTGAAGGGTTATTAGTACTATTCATTACCAGAGACTTTGTGATGGGGCTGTTAGGATGAACTCAGTACCATACAAGAAGATCGCACTTGTGTATTTGCAGTAGCCTGGTGTGCAGTGTGCTGAGCAGAGCAATTTTGGTGTTTGATGTAAACCAAAGCTTCTCTTCTTCCCATAAGTCTTGTTCCAGACTGTGGCCTGTTATCTTGCAGCTGTAGGTCCCCTCACCTCTGGAAGACAAGATCCATTTGAAGTGGTTTCCAGTAGATGAAGTTCTTCTCTGTTGTTCTTACTTCAGACAAAGATACCAGTTTCTATGACTGGCTCTCACAAGTCTATCATTGCAGAAACTGCTTATGTTCTCGTGAGGGGCAAGTTCAATAAAGCTTCCCTGAAGGGTTTCTGAATGCTTGCAAGTATCTTGAAGCCTAGTTTGCTTAACAGCAGTTCCTGCTTTGATACTGAATCAGAAGACCTTGCTCCTAAGTTCTAACTTACTATCTTAAAAAGTTTTGGAAATCTAGCAGATGGATGACCTGTTGATCTGACTGAGCTTGTAGATGCATCTTGACTGAAAACTTGTCAGACTCTCGTAGAGCACCAGCCTGACCCATTTGCTCCTTCAGACAAAAGGATGAACAACTAGCAAACTTTCTGAGATGGAAAACTGACTTGTAAAGGAATTAGAAAGGCAGTGAGGAAAGGAAGAGGAAGAAAGGACTTCAGTTTCTGTGTCTGTTTGGGGTTTTTTTTTAATTCTTCCTCTTTTTATACTAGGTTGATATCTGAATGGGGAAGAAAACCACAAAGTTCCACCTTGACCCAAAGAAATCCAAGTCAGCCAAAGCTGGTCTGCATTTCCCTGTGGGTCGCATCTACAGGCTCCTTAAAAGAGGGAACTATGCTGACAGGATTGGTACCGGCGCTGCCGTCTACCTGGCTGCAGTGCTGGAGTACCTGAGCTCTGAGATCTTAGAGCTGGCAGGGAAAGCTGCACGGGAAAAGAAGAAAACCAGGATCCTGCCCAGGCACATCCAGCTGGCTGTGAGAAACGATGATGAGCTGAACAAGCTCTTATCCTGTGTGACCATTGCTCAAGGAGGGGTGTTACCTAATGTTCTTCCTGAACTCATTCCCAAGATGACTGCTCCGCTTAAACCACCCCACAAATATGCCCGGTCACAGGAGTTCTAAGTACCACCAGGCTCCTGCCCTCACGGTTAACCCTGGCTTTCTCCACCACTCAGTTTTTCATGCCAGTTGGTCTTTTTGGTCTAAATTTCTGTGTATATGTCTGGAAAGCCACTAAAAACATTGTGACTAGCTAGCTTTCCCTAGTTATGTCCTTCAAATGAAAAATTCTATTTACATGAATAAATATGCGTGAAAAGTAGTTGTGTCCATCTTATTCCCTTCTATAAAATATTTGTTCTACTAAACAGAAGATTATTTTTTTTGGCAGTGCAGTTATTTAAGAAAACTTGTTTTACAGTCTTTAAAGCTTGTGTCTCCATGTGCATGGCTGGAATCTCTTTATTTGGTATGTGTGGAAGTCTGCTTCATCTGACCACTTCAGACCTCATCATGGGCACAGGTAACTGATTATTTTAAGTAGATGCACTGGAGAGACTGCCTTATAATGGTGGTGAAGCTGAGGAATTATCTTTAACGTTTGGATATGGATGTAAGGCTGTGCTGTGGCTTTGGAGTGTCACTGCATACTCTTTGGTCCAAAGATGGTGTTGGAATTGTCCTTTAAGTTTCTGGATTGATGGAGTGCAATCCAAGGGGTCTTCTACAGATAGTATATGAACCTTGTCAGTGCTTGAGCCTTAAAGAAACTAGAATCTACAGGCTTCTGTAGATTCTTCTAGAAACTCTTCTTAAGAATGAATCCAAATATATTTTCCACCTCTCTGGTACTGAGAATCTCCTTAGCTGCTTTGGGGCTTGTTTCATTAGGATCCAGATCAAGGAAACCTTTGTGTTAAAATGCAATCCTTGAAGTGGCCTTCTCAAGGACCTTCCTAAACTCCTGTCTTCTGCCTATGCAGCTTGAAAGGCTACCTAAACACTCAT